GACTGCCCCATTGAGCGTGGAAGGGATGTTGTCGCTGGCAACGGGCTGCTGAGAACAGAAGTACCATTCAACATCTCTGGTAGTGCTATGTCCTGGCCTGCATTCGCTGACAATGAATGTCTAAAAGAATATGTGTCTAAGGAAATACTGGGGGTAGCATTGAACAATCCCAAGACCCTAAACTCGTGCCGTGGCACTGTCACCAGCAATGCAAGTGAGAAGCCAAACCCGACAAGGAAGATAGTAAGTAACACACTGAGACTCTTGCCGCACTGCTGCACCCGCATCTAATATGATGAACTACGGTATGTTGTCCTCGGATGCCCGTAGTTCTCGAAAGCCCAGTGCGAACTGCCGCAACTCATCTCCACATTTCCCTTATACGTTGCTGGGAATAAACGTACAGAAGATCGGGCAGCTGCGAAGCATTGGATACCTTGCAACCCTGCCCCTGAAGCGCACGCCATCGCCAGAGCCAACATCATGCATGCGCACGGTTATACTTTGAAGGGCGTATCAGACATACGGCAAACCAAGCTTATCATGTTCATTGACGTGTTGTTGATGGCATTCTGGCACATGTGGCTCAAATTGTGCTTCGAGTCCTGCGCAATGTGCCTCACATTTTGTTCTACACAAAGGGTGAAGGTTAATGTTGTTGAGTTTCCCCTGAATTGCTCAACATCGCGTGCATCTCTTACCCATCGAGGTCGTTCATGCGCGTGCCATGGCTTGTCTCAAATTCGGTGTGTAATCTTCGCGAAGCGACCCTGGTGCCCATGGTAAATGGCAAAGCACTTGACGTGAATTGAATCCTCTTGTCTCACATGTCCCCTCTCTTTATATATACGTACTGTACACACAAGAATCTCTCACCCAGTCATGGGTTCAGGTTCCCCATGAAACCACATCCTGTGTCACTAACGCGTTACAATCTTGCAACATTTGACCTACATGCGTTTGAGCAAATGTGTGGCATCTGGTGTCATGCTGTGTTTGTCCATGCCGCAAGACACGTATACGTAATCTCGCCTCGCGCCTTCAGTTACCCCTGGTTTAACGCCTTAGTCTTCTCGCATCACTTGCTCCACAACTGGCTGCAGATCTTGGCCGACGTGCTACTGACAATCGTGTTCCCAATGTCCTCTCACCCAGCCTGCTTCACACACGCCTCCCCCCTCCAAATTCGAGAACGGAGAGGACTCCATAACTCGCGCGCTTTTCTCTTCGGCTCGGTCGATGGCCAGCAACTCTACATCAAACTCGAGGTCTGCGTCCGGGGGTATGTCCCTCCCGCCACCCTCGGCACCGTAGCCCAGCCGGGACGGGATCCTGGGAAGGGGCTGGAAGGGGAAGCATCGCGGAGTGAGCGGGGCGAGGGCAAGATGCGGTCAAGGGCTGTGCATGGGAGAACAGATCACTACATAGGCATAACCTTTCGGAGACTCGCACGCATTTCGTGGGTCGGCGCTGTACCCTCTTCACCAGGGCGCTTCGCGCGTCGGCACCAGAGGCGCCGCCAGGGTGGGCCCAGCGCCGACGCAAGAAATCTGCACGAATCACCGAATGTTTAAGGCTGTGTTATTCCGCAGAGGGAGGAGATGGAGGCAGGGACCTGATGTAAGTAGCCAGGGGAAGCCTTTCCAAACGAAGGAGGGGACAATCTTGCGCGCTCCAGAAAACCTCGCCTTGGCCGGCAATCGGCTTCCGCAAAAGCCAGCGGAAGGCTAGCGTAAGCCGGCGGAAACAGAACAGAGATGGGTTCGCCAGCGGAAAATGGTGGAAGGTTGGCGGAAGGAAAGGCGAGACGTCAACATGTCTGGACCGCAAGGTTTGCCGACTCGGTTATCCAGGCCTGGCACGGGTGTTCCTGGAGGCAGAACCCCCCCACCAAACCTAAGAAGGAGAAGGGGAAGGACTAGTCAGCATCGAATCGGGAGATCGGATCGATTTGGAATGCGCGTCGCATCGGGCGGCAACGTCACGGATACGAGCGTCGGGCCGCATCGGACATTCAGAATATCGGACTCGGTTCTGATCGAGCTGGCACCATCGATATCGAATCGAATCGGTCGGATCGAAATGGACCCTGGAACGTCTATACCCCGCGGCACCCAAGAGACAACGACCAGGCATGAACCTTTTTGAGCACAGAGTGGGGGCTACCAGATGAACGCACGGCACCAAAAGACAGGCATCCATGGCTTCCGACGGTCCGGCGTAGGCCAATGAATATATCCGCAGACCCCCGCTGCAGGGGTTGAAAAGGCATGCGAAACAGTTGGTTGTACCCCTCCCCCTCTCCCCCTCCCCAGGGGTCCAAAATCCCGTTCTGGGGACCCACGAGCTCGCCGACACACCCAGGGGGTTCTCCAGAGCCCCCAAAACAGCCCAAGAGGGCCCAAGCAGAGCGCCGAGACAGTCCAAGAGAGTGTCGGGACTGCCAGGGTAAACCCGTGACGGTAAAATATGGCGTCAACACAGCCCACGAAGCCCCCAGGACGGCTTCAGAACTCCCAGAGGACATGCCGAGAAGGCCCCAAAAGGCAAACACTGTCTCCTTCCCGTGGGTGCACGTGCACGTTCCCCATGCTCGCAATTTTCGTTATGACAGCGTCCAATGCGGTCCAAAAGGCCCCCAAAATCGTCCCAAGACGGCGAGGCCCCGTAGAGGGCCCGAAAACTGCCCAATACAGCTCCAAGAGGGCCCCAAAACGGCCACAAGGGCCCCAGGGACGGCCCACGAGGGCCCCAGGAAAGGCCTAAGTGGAACACTTCTGACATCATCGAGCCTTTTCCCCAGCCCATGGCCCCAAAAGCCTCCCAGAGACCTCCGAGGCGCCCCTAAGAGGCCCCCACGAGGCCTCCAAGAAAAATGCCCCCAAGCTGCTCCAAAGCAGGCCTTCAACAAACCCCAAAGAGCCAACCAAATGCCGCCCAAAGCCGTCCAGGCCCGTGAGAGTTGAACCCTCGCGGGCGTGAGCAACAAAAACAGCCATTCCAACTCAACCATACCCTGCCGAACGCCCTGGACGTCTCTACTCAACTAGGGCTCGGCGGAATGGCGCAAGCCACTTCAATCAGGTGTACCCATCGCTCGGCAGAGGCGGGTAGACACATAGTGTAGGAAAGCGCTGAGACAAAGAGGGGCTTCCAAACGAGAAATCCAACGGGCGCCTACAATCCGTCTCTGGTCGTATGTTGTCTAACGAATTATGCGCCGCCTCTTCCAAACTTCATCTTCCCTTCGGGGGGGTACCCCCCTACCGTACCTGCGAATCGTTCGGGTTTCTGCGAAGTGTCAGAGGGCCCTTTGTTCGTCCATGGTCGCCCCATGAGAGCCTCCGATATGTCAAGCTGGCCTCCATGATGGCTCATGATGGCCGAATATGGCTCAATATTGCCTCCAACATGCTTCAATAAACCACAAATACTGCTCCAAAGCGGTTCCAAGTGCTCTCCGACCCCCACCCAGGACCCCCCAAGAGGCCACCAATCGCCAAAAACAAAAAACAATGGTTTGTGCGTTTTCGTCGTTTCGCTTCCGATGCGCGCTGGAGGCCCCGAGATGGCCCAGAATGGGCGAAGGTATCCTCAAGAGGGGCCCGAGAGGCACCGCTGACGGCCCCAAGAGCGCTCACGATCGTCCAGAAAGCGCACTTAAAAAAGGCCCCCGTAGGTTTATGATCTGGTGTGTCTCAGAGAACCGCCATCCGACCTCAAAACGCCTAAACGCACCCAAACCATACCCAAAGCGCGCTTCAGTGTGGCCAACGTAATGAGCCCAAAACCACCCCCAAAGTATCCCAAACACACATTACGTTAAAACAACAATCATTAGATTACGTTCCAGAGTTGTACTACAGGCGCGCGTAACATTACAAGTGCTGCAGCGCAGAGTGCACGCGAACAGAGTTGCATTACGCATGGCCGAGTTGAACCCCAGAGCGTTACCGACCTGGCTGCACGACAGCATTTCGGAACATTGCGCAATGCTGGTATTGTAGAAAGCAAGCGCTGTTTTCCAAGTCATCTTGAAAGGACCATCCGCACCGCTCCAACCACATCACCATTGAGCGCGTCTTGCGTCGGTCGTTTGCCTGCCCGCGCGGGGTCGATTGTTGACTCAAAAGAGCCCTGGGGCACCACTGAGGGCACCGGTAGGCTCGATGGCCAGGCGCGCCCGAACAACATGCCGGCACGAAACCCGCAACCGTGCAGGAAACACTCCGAAAATTGCAATGGCAGCCACTATTCTCCAAGTCCCGAGGGAGCTTTCACGAGGACCACCGCGAGACCCACGAGAGCCCCAGAGATTGAACTGCAAAGATTACTGCACATAGAATGCACCAGTAGATTGCAACACATGCATTGCACTACATAGCTTGCACCACATAGAGTGCTCTAAAGATATTGCACTACGTAGCTTACAGAACAGTTGTTTCACCACATGAGCTGCGACACATATCTTGGCCCACGTAGATTGCAGCACATAGCTTTCACCATATCGGTATCACCACATAGACTGCACTGACATAGCTTACACGGCCTAACTTGCACCACGCAGGTTGCACCACATAGATTGCACCAGGATTGCACCGCAGAGATTGCATTGGCAGGGCTTACACCACCAAGATTGCACCCCATAGGTTGCACCACATAAGTTGCACCACCTAGACTGCACCACATAGGTTGCGCCACATAGGTTGCACCACATCCTACTCCTCCTTCGAACTCACCCCGGGAAGAGGATAAGGATGGATGGGGAGGGAATAACCAGCCAGGGCTGGATGTTCCACCAACAGTGAAGGAAATGCCCCCAGTCGGGGGAATGTAGATCTCTCGCAGGCCGCTTCCCCGTCCCATGGCCCATGGCATGGGTAGCTCCCTCGCCTCAAGCTGCGTATGCGAAGCTCTGGCTCTGCGCTCGCGCGTAGTGTCTTATACTGGCTGCAAAGAGTCTGCGCTGGCCCATCGTCTCACGAGATCCTTATCATCGCCATGGCCTTTTTCTCTATCTCCAAAACCGCTGGAACCGCCTTCGCCCATATCTGGAACGGCTTGTCATCCCACAGATCGTAAGTCGAAGCCTTCTTCTTGTAGCCGCCGATCGCTGCTTTCATCTGCACCAGGTTGTCTTTCAACGCATCGGCGGAAACGATGACCTTGCCCTCAAAGATCGTCGCAAGCGCCCTCTGCACAACGTTGACCGCATCGACCACGAACTGATACGGTGGGAACACGGTCTGCGAACGGCCCACCTCGAGGATCGTCTTCCTCTCCTTCAACTGACGCCACTTCTCTTCCACCTGAGCCGCGAGGTCCACCAGCATCTTGGCTGGAATGTTCCAGAGCGTCTTGTCGCAGCGCGCTTTCGTAGCAACAAGCGCGTTCTTGACATCAGGCTTGAGCTTCTCCGACCAGATCTTACCGTTGCAGCCGCCTGCCCAAGTCGTCAAAACCTCAGCGTCGCCTGAGTAGTCCTCGATCTTGATCTTGTTGTGGTCCAGCTTCTGGTCGACGATGCCACTGATGAGCGCACGCATGCTCGGCAAAGACACGTGGATGCCAGCAGCGTTGATGGCGGCGCCTTTCTGCGTCAATTGCTCGTCCAATGCGTCGAGCTTCGTGTTGAAGGGGCCGACGAGCGCGAACATCTCCTTCACATCCTCCAGCGGGATCTTATTCGCGAGGTCCTCGACCAAGCTCCCGTGCTTCACTTCAGTCGCACGGCGACGCTCGCCCAGGTCGAGCGCCTCGCCGAACACCTCGAGGAATGAGCTGACGGAGACGCCCTTCATGGAATGGGTGCTCGCTGGAACCCACGGCTTCAGCATGCGCAGGCTGGTGACCATCAACTTGCTGCAAGCGGCATCCGCGAAGCCGTCAGGGCCACAGAGGGACGCGACGATGCCGTCGACCATCGCGAGGGTGGCTAAGTCCACGCCCAGCGCGCTGAGCTTCGGGCACTCGCGCAGCCCTTTCGCGGCCGACAGCGATAATCCCAACGCGTCCTGTTTGGCCACGAGTGCCTCGAAGCTGGTCACCGCCTCGGCGGCTTCGCACGCCGCCTTCAGATCCATCAGCAACGTCTCATTCGCAACCCCCGCTCTCCTATCCCGCACGTCCTCCATGGCATGCTTGAATTCGGCCTCCGAGGGAAGAGATTGCATGACACCAAGAAGAACGTCTCATACGCGCTCAGGGCGTCCAACGGCCCATCTGCAGAGCTCAGCTTGTCGTGAATGAGTGCAAGGTTGTGCAGTGCGCAGTCCTTCAGCGGACCCATGATGCCATCGAACGCGTCCTCAGGCAGCTCGCCCTTCAGCATGTAGATGCTCTCCATGTACGCCTTCAACGTGTCCAAAGGTACGGCCGCTGCACCTGGTGCCAATGCGGTCTTGATCTCCTGGAGGCGGGGCTCAGCCCTCTCGCGAGGCTTTCTGTATTTCAGGTAGTTAGCCTTCTGACCATTCCAGTATGGCTGTGAGCGGATGGTTACGGCCGGCGATTGGGCTAAGGTGCACTGCTTCGGCGGCGTCGCCAGGTCCGCGAAGTCATCGCGGGACCCGCCGCCGTCCACCGTCTGGAACATCATCACCAGGATCCCCCTGAAGCACGTGAGCAGCTCGGTGACCACGTTGGCCAATGTCTCTTCCGCGCAATCGCCTGGCATGTTCAGCAAGTGGGCCGGGAAGCCCTTGGAGAAGTTGATCACCTGCTCCGTGCCGCTCTGGCCGATCTTAAGCATCGGCGCCAGTATGACCTTAACTACGGTCTCACCGAACTTCAGAGCTTTCTCCGACTCGGAGATGTCCAAGGCACGCACTTTGGGGTTCGTCGGGCCATACGTACACGCGAAGGGCCCCATTTCACCTTTCTCTTTCTCCGAGGATTTGTCCTTCGCCATCGCCCTGTCCCAAGGGAACACGATGTCCATGATCTCGTCAATCTTGTTGTAGCTATCTGGGTCCTCCTGCCAGATCTTGACGCGCCTGTCGAGGATGTACTGCTTGGCAACCGCTGGGATCCCTTGTCCAGAGTTGAGCAAGTCCTCGCAGGTCTTGTTGTCACCCGTGAGGCTGACCTCGAAGACGCCGCCGCGATGAAACTGCGTGCACTTGGCCGCCAACTCTATCCTCTCCTGCAGCATATCAGCGTCGGGTGCGTCAGGCTCCTTCTGCAGGAACTCCCTGGCGTTCTGCATCTGGGTGCCCTTCTTCTTGTGGTCCAGGATGGCCCAGATGCTCAGCTTCGCCACGTGTTCCCTGGCGTTCCTGGCGGGCGGGCCGTCGTCGAGATCCTCGCCTGTCCCGTAGGCGCCGTAGACGGAAGAGGGGCCGCGCTGAAAGGATGCTTTGCGACAAAACTGACTGCCCCCGCCCAGCACTGATGCGGCGTCGCTCTCGGCACCCTTGGCAAGAGTGGTCAGGCCCGCCGGCGGCGCCGCCGACCTGAGATCCACGGAGAGATCCGACAGGAAATGGCGCGCGTTGGAGGCCTCAGGCTCGAGGCAACCGCCCCCATCAGGCCCACCTGGCCTGTCGTTGTCGCCCGAACCGCCGCCGGCGTCGCTGTCGCCCGAGCCACTGCCATCGTTATCATCATCATCATCTCCACCGCCATCGGGTTGATGAGCTGGAGGGACCCTGGCGCTTCTCGTCCTGATCTCCTCCTCGGTGAGCGCTTTCGCGAAGCCAAGCGCGCTCTCGTCGCGAACCCTCTCCGTCTCGTTGTCGTAGAACCTGCTGGCCTCATTCTCGAACACAGCCCTGGTCTTCCAGACGCCGTCTTTCTTGGTCACCTCTTCGACCCTCTCAATGTCCATCTCCACGTCTGGCCTCGCTGGGTTCCCCACCAGGTAGACGCTCCGAGCCTTGCCATCGAGGTCAGTGGCGCTCGTGGGTTTCACTTTGAGCGCGTGGGGGGAGACGCCGAACTTGCCCTTGCACTCGCCAAGCTCGAGGGGGAGGAAAGACGCGCGGTACACGACGCGGAACCTCTTGTTGGATGTCACCTCCCCCTCGCCGAACGTGAGCGAGATGGCCCGTCTGCCTCGGCCTTCATGCCGTTGTTCCAGCACTCCTTGAAGCTATCGTCCTCTCGGTACATCTTCGAGGCATCTACCCTCGGGATGTAGCCGTGGTGGCGCTTCCAGTAGAGGTAGCATTTCATGCAGGCGTCCTTGTCGAAGTACTGCGGGCAGGGCGCAATTCAAACATGGCATGAAAGCGGACTAAGGGGAGGTAGGGAGTTGAATTGGCAAGTCTTCTGGCCTCGCATCCAACGCGCACCAATTGTCTCTCACGAAGCCTTCAGAATGCGGCCTCTGGGGGCCTCGAAACAACGCTCCGAGAGAGCGCCCATTGTGCCGCAGAGATGGCAGCGAAGACCCTGCCAGCTCCAGACGGCCCAAGAAGCTTCGAGAGGGTCCACACACGCGCTCCAAGACGGGCCACTATGGCCTCAAGACGGCCTAAGCTGCTTCAAGACGGCCTCCGACGATGATTCTAAGGCGGCCCGAGGGGCCCGAGAGGCCCCAGGAGGGCCCCAGCACGGCCCACGAGGCCCCCGAGAGAATTCCGATACTGCCCAGGACGGACTAAGAGGCTCCAGGACTGCCCCAGAGCGTTCCAAAAGCTGAAGAAGTGGCCTCCAGAACGCTCGAATACAGACCGGGAGACATCCAGGACGCCCCAGGAGAGCGGCCCAATACGGCCCAAGATACCCCCAATACGTCCCGAGGCCAAAGAATCTGGTCCCAAACCAGTCGAGGTACCTGTTTGAGGCCCGCGACTGCCGCAAACAACTTGGCACCCCTAAGACCCCTCCATGACGGCCCAGGGGAAGCCAGAGAAGGGCTTCCATACGGCTCAAGAGGGTGCCCCGCGCCCGTTGTTTGAACCCTTTCCCCTGGTCTCCTGGGCGCCGTCCTGGCACTCGCCGCAGAAGTCGCACTTCGGCTTCCTCTTGCCGCGGGAACCCTTCGTCGTGCCCGCGCCGCAAGACGGGGGCGGCGCCGTGGACGCGCCCGCCGAGGTGTGCGGTTTAGATTTCTTGGGCAGAGCCTTGGGAACAAGGGCCTCGTTACCTGACGCTGGTGAATCAGGTCGTTCCTGGCCCCTGCCGCGGCCGCGACCGATCCCCATGGCCCCGTTCAGACTCTGGCTCCCGCCACGCGGGGTTTCGGCCCCGAGCGACACGACGGTGCCATGAGAACCCCAGGGCCAAAACGGCTATGAGCAGTCGCCACTGCGGCGTCGAATACGCAACCAGACTCGTTTGGGGTCGGTCTACAGGAATGGCACTTTAGCTTAGCCCAAACAGCAGAGACCGCAGACAACGTGGACCCCAAACAGCGTGGACCCCAATCAGCAGAGACCCACCACAGAATTGATGGACTCCGAACAGCTTGGACCCCAGGCAGCAGGGACCCCAAACAGCATGCACCCCAAACAGCGTGGACCCCAAACAGCAGAGACCACAGACAGCGTGGACCCCAAACAGAGTGGACCCCAAACAGCAAAGACTCCACACATAACTGATGGACCCCAAACAACGTGGACACCAGACAGCAGTGACTCCAAACAGCATGGACCCCAGACAGCGCGGACCCCAGACAGCATGGACCCAGACGGCGTGGACCCCAGACAGCGGGATGATTATAGCAGTGATGGAGGTAGTCGCACTGGCATTGGTAGTTGCGAGGAGCATGATGCTGATTATGATGCTGGTGATGATACTGGTCTGATGATGATGGTATTGGTAATGGCAACCATAGTAACGGGAGCGGTGGCGATGAAGGTAGTGGTGATGGTAACTATAATTGTGATTGCGATGCTGGTGGTAGTGGGGATGAGAGGTCTGCTGGTAGTGGGGATTGCGATGGTAGTTGTGACGGTAAGTCGAGTGGTGATGGCAGCGTTTATGATGGTAGTGGTGTTAGTGGTGATGGTGATGTGTTTCTGTTGATGATGGTAGTGGTACAGAGGTGATGGAGGCGATGATGACGGTCGTGGTGAGGATGCTGGTGGTGGCTATGTTATGTGTGATGCTGGAGATGGTGGTGGTGGTGGTGGTATGGGGGGCCGATGGCAGTGGCGATGGTGACGGCAGCGGCGGTAGCGTCGCCTCTGCACCTCCTACCCAGGAGGCGACGGTGATGAAGACGACGACTGCATCGCTGGCCATCTGTTCTCCGCGGCCCCCAACAGAAGGGGCGCGCAATGTGCGGCATGTGCTGGCTCAACACGCGAGTGCCTTACACGAGCCAGGCTCCTCGGTTACCTCTCTGCTGGAGATGCCCCTATACGCGAACGCTTGCCCACGATGACCCTGCACTGAACGCAGCCCGTTCACGGCATCAGCGGCAGAAGGGAAGCGCCTCTTGAGGGCCGCCGCAGACTTCGATCAGTCAAGTGGGATGTCCCTGATTGTGTCTAGGTGCTCCGAGTCTCGCTGGGCCTGCACGCCGTCTGCTGCCGGGGCTACTTGCGACAAGTTCGAGATGGCGTTCAACCTGGCGCGCATCACGCGGTTCCTGACGGAGAGACGCCAAGTCTTGACCTTTTCGAACTTGAGCTTATTGAGCAGCGCGAGACAGCGTTTCTTGAGCACGCGATATTGGGTCCGATTAACCCAATTTGGGCGCCCTATCGGCTGAAGCTTCGGTGACATCACAGAAAACCGAACTACAATTATGGTCGGGACGTTCCGCGCGCGCTCGGCTCTGAGCCAACTCAGCTCTTGAAACAGACTGGGTTGCGACCGACTCTTCAGAGGCAATGGCGATGGCGATGCTTGTGACGAGTGCCCAGTGATCCAGTTGCGATGGCGATGGCGGTGATGGCAGTAAGGATGATGATGATAGTGTTCATTCGTAGTGGTGATGGTCGTAATGGTGGTGATGGTGATGGCGGCATGCTTGTGACGAAGATGGTAGTAGCTGTGAAAAATGATGATGGCGATGGCGATAGTAATGAGCATGATGGTGACGGTAGTTGGGGTGGTAGTGATGATGATGGTACTGATGGTGGTAGTGACGACGATGATGATGATGATGATGATGACGGTAGCGCCCGAATGCGACAACAGTTTGAACATGATGTTCTCTCAGAGGCCTCCGACGGAAGAGGCGCCAATGGCGATTGGCAAACGTCGGCGCTCACGGCCGATACGGAAGTCGGCTCTAGGCACGCAATATACAAGGACCCTAACAACGAATTGGGCACCGCAAGTCCCGACCCTCGAAAAGGGTACCGGCCAGAGTTTGGAAGATCAGTACCCCTGCGCATCCCAGCTGACATCCACCACATGGTTGCTAATGTCCCCAGGGTTTATGCCCATGCCACGGAGAACGTCATTGAGCGACTTCCTGGCGGCCTGATCCTCGAAAAGGCCGTCGTTCTTATCGGCAACCTTCGAGCTCGTGGGAGACGAAGCAGCAGCGGGTGGAGCCTCCTCTGCGATCTGCGACGCCGCGAGGGGCGAGACTGAACGCTCTCGAAGGGCTTGCGGGCGCGATTCACCACCGTGGCCGAGAAGGGCCTCGTCGATGGTGACCGATGCGCCCGCGACCGTGATTTTACCAGCGCCTTCCACCACCGTGGGCGTCGCACCCTGCTCAGGCCACGCGGTAGCTCGCAGCGGGGCCGCCAGCGCCACTTTCTTCTCCTTGGTAACGTCCTTCTTCTCCTTGGTAACCTCCTCCTCCTCTTCCGACGAGTCTATCCCCTCGCCTTCCTCTGCCGTGATCATCGGGGAGCACCTCCGCACTTTGATCGATCCCTTCTCCTGATGCGGCTTCGGGCTGTCGCCCCTCGGGCGCTTGAACAGATGGCGCTGCTCCTGCGATGCGTCGGCGGGCGGCGGAGCTGTGGGCCGAGGCTTGATCGCGAGCCTCTGCTTCTGTACCACCTCGTACTCCACCATGTGATCTTTTGCGTGCCCGAACGGCAAGTCATCGCAATTGTAAGTGGCCGCTGGTACCCTCTCCCGAATATGGAACTCCGGTTTTGTCCTCCCATCCGCTGGTGGCCCCTGCGCCGCTGAAGACGCTGCCTCAGCCATGGCGCGAATGGAACTCGTCGAGTATGGAGTATGGAACGCACGCAATGGGAATTCGTCAAGTATGGAACGTATGGAAACTCGTCAAGTATGGAACGTGATGGGAACTCGTCAAGTTCTTGGGATGAAATGGGCGACTGACGGATCACAAAGCTACCCGAACAGCGCTACCTGGCACGGCACGGCACGTAGACTCCAACGGGCACGTAGACCCCAAACAGCTCAACGGACACGTAGACCCCAAACAGCACTACCCGGCACGGCACGGCGCGACACACGGGCAAGGGGCACGCACGATAGCCTACTTGAATAGCACTGCCCCCAAATCGCCTACTTGAGCAGCCTACTTGAACCGCCTACTTGAATAGTCTACTTGAATACCTCCTCCTCCCCCGAACCGCTGCCCTCAATCGGAGGGCCCCTGACATGGCATTCCCACATCCCCGGGCACTAGCCCGCTGGCGGCGGTTGCCGTCTGGCATTGCATGCCCCCCCCCCCCCCGCGTCCTCCATAAACCCCGAGGACAAAGAGGCAGCGACGGAGGGCGCAACCTGTGGCGCAACCCACTATTAGCCCATGGCGCAACCTACTATTACCCTATGGCGCAACCAAATATTAGCCTATGGCGCAACCTGTGGCACACCCAACGATGGCGATGGCGACGGTAGCGATGCCTGCTCTGAACAGGCCAACGGTTCCAGCTGCGGCAACCCGAAGAGTGGCAAGACTGCACACGGCAATCCCTAATGCCGAAGGCTGACACTCGGCTCGACGCGGGCGCAAT